CGTGTTGAAAAACACCCGAGATGGACCAGGTATTGAGTTGGGGTTAGAGAATGGATTTTTCCAACCTCATAACAAAGCCTGCCTTTCTGGTTTCGGAAAGGAGAATCTGAGTATGTAGTTTGGCAACGTGACGGGTTGGTGCCAAAAGAAACCATTCATCCATATTAGTGAAGCGTGCACAGACCCAGAAAATGGAGATGCCACACAAAAGCCAGTACTATTCGGCAGAATACATATGGTGCTGAAGCAAGTCCAAACAATAGAGCTTGGAACTGCAACATCTGGTCCTCGTGCACAAAATGTAGAAATCAACAAGAAAATTGCTATGGGGATGTGAAGGTAGGCCTCTGTAACATCGAATTTGGTCATCCAATGACCTGGTGTGAAGTGCCATCGAAGTTGAAGAAAAGATTCCATGATGAAATGAGGAGGCTGTAGGAAGTGATTGAGTCGAGACAGATCAATAATAGGACGCCAATCTCCAGTTTTGTTAGATGAGAATAGAATCCTGGATGAATGGGATTGACCTTCTCGGTGGCCCATTTGTTGAATAACTCCTGAATTGCCAGGGAACAAAGTCTTGCATGTCTGAGGTCTGAAGGAGAAGAAAGGGCACCTCCCATAAATCACAAAGAGCAGTGGATGGCAGACGAATACCCACCAACAAGGCATCTCGACTCAATAAGTCCCAGCAACAGACTAACCACAACAACAAGGCAAGGCCTGAAGAGGACAAATGAGCCAGTTTGTCATCAAACTGATGAGGCAAGCATTGATATGCTTCAGACAAAAGGTGAAGTAGTAAGAGTCAAACAATTCCACAAAAATTAAGATCTGTTAACTTTTTCAACCCGGGCTCGGTCCCTGGGACCGACCTCATAACCATTTTGCACTTGTTAAAGTTTTCATGCTATAACTTTTCAATTAGTGGGCAAATGTTAACAAAATTTGGCAGCTTATCAGTAAATATAACAATGCTTTCATATGTAAAATATCTAATTTTTTTATTAAGTTTTAAGGTTTGTAAAGCAATGTTTCTCTCATGCCTTTTTTACTTTTTCACATCTTGCCTATCTATCATGGAAAGTAATTTTCATCTTAAGATTTAAAATCAGAAATTTCAAAATTCAGCAGAAAATTTTGAAATTTCACATGCAAAATCTTTATAATGTCAGGATGGTTATCCAACATTTCTTAAGAAAAAACTATTTTATCTGTTATTTTCAGTAATTAATCTCTGTATGGGTTCGGTAGATTTGATTGATCTTGCACCCACCATAAAAAATTAGGAAATAAACATAAATTATGCCTCTTTCATTCTAGAATGAACACAAATTATAACATGAAAACATAAATGTGCAGATGAAATAGATTAAATCTCATAACATTATACACTTATATATATTTATTATTTTTATTATACTGACCTTTCACCCGTGCCTGGCTAACAATACAAAAGTTACAACGATGCGGCTCACGTGCATTCATGTTTCCGTATCAAATAACACAAAGGTTACCTTTGATCTGTACAAAGTAACTTGTCTTGGCTGTGTTTTAGTAGACTAGTATTTTGTAAAATACAGTCACATTTCAATTATCATATATGTATATAGATTATTGCTATTTTGAAATAAGTTCTTAAAGTTATTTTTCCTTAAAACATAGAACAGTAAATAAAGAGCTAAAGCAAA